TATATATATATATTAATACATACAAGGATGGCCCATTGATATATATGATATATAATATATTTGTTTTGTATAGTTAGTTGTAGATTATGATAACCATATAATGATCAAATTATTTCTCCTTTCTCTCATTTTTTTTCCTTCTTGTTTTTAGAGTGTGTAACTATTGTATTCACCTTTGTCAAGTAAAATGGTATGGACTAAACTCTAAAAGGACGAGTTGTGTATTATTGTATTATATTTTCATATGAAATGAAGTGGATCTTTTTTTCTTCAATATTGAGCTTACCATTTTGTTCTTAATCTCCAATTTTTTTATGTTCAACCTATAATTTATTATTTATATTAAATTAAGTTGATTTTGTGGATCAAGATTCTAAATTATAGAGGAATATTATAATATGATGCTCATTTCGTTCACAATGGAGAACTGAAAACTCCTTAGTTGGACTACTCTTCATGGTTAATATTTAGTGTATTACATTTTGACAATGTAGCAAAAAAAACAATGATGTATATATAAATAGTCAATCATTATTCATGTTACATTTCTTAAGTGTTAAAGTTGAAAAAGATATTAAAAATATTATCTTGTCATCGTATTTACTTTGAAAGTGTTGGCTTAGCCATAATATGTCAATATGTGGATTAGTACCAAATACCAATCAACAAATACATCTTTGTGTGCAACAAAGAGAATTGTAATATGTGAACTACTAGTTCACACATGAATTATTACATTCACATAAAAATTTATTATTATCAATTATGTTAATGTCTTAAATTATTTGGTGTGACAAAACATATTAAGATGTGACGAGTAGTGCTTAAAATTTTTTTTAGAGAACATTACCTCTTAAATACTATTAGATTATCATTGTAACAAATATTAATATGAAACTTATTAGGTGAATAGGAACCTTGTAGAATATGATAACCTCAACCTATGTAGGTTAGGTCTTAAAGATCTTTGTAGTTTAGAAGTCTTTCAACAAGATGACATACAATGTGTTTATTTTAAAGTTGACACTTTCTTGAACACCGGTTAAAATAAAAATAACTCATTTTTATTTTTAGTTTTTTTTAAGTGAAAATTTTCGCTTGTAATTGTTAGATAAAATAAAATAACTTAAAAAATAGAAGAAAATTAAAATTTTTAAATGTTAAATATAAAAGTAAAAATAAATTATTTAAACAATTACGTTTTAACCGTTATCCCACTTTTTTTGTGATGGATGCATTATGCTAGCATAATCAATTATACAATACCCTTATACAATATACATGCACGTGATAAATTAGATTATGACAACTGTGTATATACCATATTTTATATTTTATAATTTACTTCTTAAATTCCCATTTATATATGTTTAAATCAATTGTGAAAAATAGGTACATAATCGATCATGCTATATGCATAATCGACCATGTTGACAATTTTTTTTTTTGAAAACTTGTAATAAAATAGTATATAATATGAAATAAAATAAATACACACATATTTTATTTAAAATAAATATAAAAATATCTTATAAACATTGTTTTTATATATAAGCATGTATTAATTTTTTTTATAAATGTATATATAAAAATCAGAAATTTGTTTCAATTTTTTAAATTGTGTTAAAATATAACTGAAATGAACACGTGAATTAAAAAATAATAATAATAATAATAGACACCACGCTACCATAGTCGATCATGCTCTCACCATAATCAATTATGGTGGTATATACAAAGACAGAGATCATGAGAAATTTTTTTTTGAAGAATAATTGCGTTGTGTAAGTTCTCACTTCTCAGGAGGCTTGTTTTAACTTGAGGACAATTTTGTATTTTCAACTTATATCCACTAAATTTGTTCTCACTTGACATTGAATAATGACCAACTTTTTTATATCTAAACTAAGTGCTTTATTGCATTGAGAATTTGAGATTATTTCTATAATTTTCCACGTTATTATATTAATTAGTTGTATTTGCTTAAGTATATTTTTATACTATGATCTTTAATTATTATTTAATATAATAGTATAATAGTATATGTTTAATTGTAATCCATTTAACCACAATTAAAAGCCAATATTTGCAACAATCCAACTAATGATCCAAAATTAAAAACATCAATACTTTCACTATTCGAACTATTGATCCAAAATTAAAAACATTACATTGATAGAATATATGTTCTAACAAAGGGAGATGATGATATCAGCAGATCACATGACCACACCATGTTACAGGGAAAAATAACCATCAATGAATACAGTAACTTATTATTACCCAACATACAAAATTAATGGGGACAATAAATTCTAGAACAAAATATCATAACAATCCGCTCTGTTGATAAAAATAAATAATAATAAAAAATCTCTATCCAACAACCAAAATCGTAAATGCCGGATAATTGAACTCTGATTGCATAAAATATTCGCCTCAATGACCAGCTTTGCAAAATGCCACTCGTTTTAATCATTTTACACAATGACTAATGTGTAATAAATCTAAAATAAAAATAAGCATTTACTAACAACTTGTTAGTTCGGATAATATTATACTCAGTCCCTTTAAAATAAAAAATATCTCTTTCGAAATTTATGAATGAAAAAAAAATGTAATTAAAAATGAAAGATTCTAATAAAATTAAAATTGATCATCCAAATTTTTTAATAAATAATAGTCTAATAAATATTTCGTATTAATAATAGTTATAAAAAAAAACCTTAAAAGAAAAAACAATTATAGCTGCAATAGAGATCCACTGCGTTGCAATTGCAACAAATAAATGTTTCTATTTCTATACAAGGATTAAAAGGCAGAACTTAAAAATGAAATTAGCATGCAATCCTAACACGTATACAAGGACGCCTATAGGATAAAAGATCTTCAAATAAGCAAGCCAAATAATGATATTATACAGTCAAATTTCACGTTACATGGTAAGATGTTATCCAGCATTCTTGATCTCGACCTGACACCCCATGTGAAAAACATCATAAGCCACTTTTAGATACGATCCGAGAGTATCAGAAGTTAACTTGATTTTAATTGTTGACAACTGTACAAGCCTCCTCAAAAATGATTTGTTGTCTCACTGCTATCTGTTTCTAGCAGATGGACTCTTTTTAACAGCTGGATTCTCTATATCAGCTGCCGTGTACTCACCAGTTACCCTGCCATTTATCAAAGAAAATCATTTAACATGGATTACTTTAAACAAACACCAACTAACAGCCCGGGATTTTTATTTCTTTTAACAAAAAAGGGAGTATATTAATGCCAAAATGGAGGAGGAAAATGATACTTGCACAAACGAGCCCTCACAAACTCGCATACAAGTCAATGAAGTCATTGGATGACACCTTAATCTCACTATGAACTTGTGTAAATACAAGTTTATAAGAGATTTTGAGAGTTTTTCAACTGAAAAGAACTTTTTATATTCAGTAGAGAAGCTTTCAAAAGTTTTTTCAAAATTATATCCAAACAGGCTTTATAACACTTAACGACATGGTTCGTTTGAGTACACCTCAGTCTGAAAGGGGTTTGTGTGAATAAAAGTTTTACAAGTATTCACAGAAGAAAACCTATTAGAGGTGCTGTTTATGTCCAAATGCAGGTGGCAGTGACTCACTAGAAACTAGAAAGTGTGAACATACTATGAGAGATTAGAAAAGTTTGACTTTAGCCATGATATTCACAATAAAAATGAAGAGATTAAGATAAGTTTCATCATAAGCCCTGATCATGTGCTCCTAATCTCCTATATAATCAAACTTTATTTTACTAAACAATAGGTGGATGCATGCTAGCACAATAATCAAAGGAAATATATTTACCTATTATACAACAACATGGCATCACCTATAGTTCCTGCAACCTTATTCCGTACCTTTCGAACACAAACCTGAAGCAAGCCTAAGTTAGTATATTTTATTTAGTATGATTACCGAAATCAGCACAATTATGCAATTATGCTACAAACACTCACCTGCACTTGGTCAATAGGCCCAGCTTCAGGATCCCGATTACGGTGAATAACAATTCCATTGTCACACTTATTTATGAAGTGTGCACTTCCACTTATATCATAGAGATTAGGAGGACCCCCAACCCAATTATGCAGCTATTAAATGAGAGGAAAGAATATCAGAAAAAGTAAAATGACAAAGGATGAAACCAAAGTTGTTTGTTACTAACCTGCCTAGGATGTGCTACAAACCAAACATGGCATCCATGATGTTGGGCAAAACGTTTGATTAAGGTAAGCAACTGGCTTACATATTCTGTTTCAGTTCTGCAAGTTTTTGCAACAAATAAATTAACATCCATTAGCCATCCTTTAACTAGACAACAAAGGCCGCTGACAACAGAGAGAATTATCAGGGTAACACAGCATGTTCTTGTAGAGATTGATTATAATACTAGTGCAAAACATGAAACAGTGTTTTTTTATAGACTTCTATCACACACCCCACATTTTGTGAAGGAGCAAATGCATGATGAAATCCAATATGAAAATAAATGTTGGTTATCATAGATAATGTATGATGAGATGGAAGCCTTTGATTCCAATCACAAATTATTGTTCTTTCTCCACTTGGGAAATCTACTGTCAGTTGTCAATGGATTTTTACTGAGACCACTTGGGAAATCATTGTTGGTCCACCTAGATTGCCATGCTCCAGGCCCATAGCCATAGGCATGAGGGGGGTGATGGAAAGTCGCCTTAATTGAGATCACTTTGCAGCCTATCAATTTGGTTGCACCGTGTCTTGGAAAGGGTTACCTACAAAGAGGTTGACCAGAAAGACATTGGCTCTCACGATGTTGAGATCTCACATAAGCAAGAGATATGACCAATATTGAACTTGCAAATTCTTACCGTACAAGTTGGTTTTATGGATTGAGTTAGGCCCAAAGATCAGATTCTAAGAGTAAGGCAGTTCATTCTGTGTCCTTTGAACATACATCCTCTAATAAATGCATCTTATTTATGTGGATGGTATCACTAAGGAAACAAACATAAAGGCATCAAAAGCCTAAAACAGCATTTATCCCAACACTTCAAACCAAAGACACAGGTCAGCATTGATATTTTCTTGAGTTGACACTGAAGTTGCAAAGTCAAAAACAAGAAACATAGCTACAAAAGCAACACATTAAGTTATGGCTTTTGCAGCTTGTGAACCTCTATGGTTAAAAAAGTCACTTCAAGACTCATCAAGAATTGGGAGTCTGCAAGACAAGTCCTACGAAACTTATTTGTAATAACCAAGAATCCAAGAAGTAGTACATATCGCCAACAATCTAAATCCTTCCTGTGCGAATCAAACACAGATTGATTACCATTTTATATTTTTATATGGGAGAATATTCTTTCTATGAACGTCACTGCTTCATTTTTTAAATCCAACGGTCCTTGAAGTATACCTTACTAGTTTAGGGGGAGTATTAGTTATAGATAGTATCATTCATCCTTAAAAATTTGGGGTTATATTTCATTAGAGACTTCAATTGTAATTCTCTAATATAAATTCATAGGGGATGAAAGGAATTTTGTTGGGCAATTTGCAGTATTCTAAAGGGTTCAAGTACAACTTAAACAAAAGTAAAACAAAATCCAAGTTTAGAATAAGCTCTTTAAAGAGGATTACTGATTTGGAGGTCTCTGGTGATCAAGCTCATTGTAAGGATCAATTACAAGTCCACGCACCCCATGCCTTAATACAGCAGCCTTTGCAAGGTTAAGGACCCAATTTATATTTGGAAGGGAGTCATCTTCACACCTAGTATCAATAACCAAGCAGGCATTAGACAGTCTATTCAACGGTACAAGTTAAATTTCATCAGTATAAGCTAAATAACTAATTCAAAATACCAGTTTAACCAAATGTAAGTATTAGATAGTCTATTCAAGAATAACTGCCAAAGCAAGCAATTTTGACATATTCAAATAAAACCCAAGATCAAAAGTTTCATGTTAGGGTCCATTGTCATTCATTTCTATGCAACAGGAGACCTGAACATTTCTGCATCACCATTGGTACCCAACAAGGATTAAAATCTCAGTCTGATCATTTGATGTGTATACATCATGTAAGTTGTGCCCAGAACCTCATGTACATTGACCCACAACACTACCACCACTATAACCAAAATTTAAAACCCCATTACCCAATATTAAGGGAACAAATACAAATTTTAACAGTACAATAAAATAAGATTCGGTTCTAATAAACAAGCCAAATGCACTGAAAAATTTATTGCTACTGCCTGCTTCACTTCTAGTTTAATTTAGAAAGATTTTCCCCTAGATATTTTAAATAAAAAAAATCAACTGTAACACTAATCATATTCATAGCATGCATCACTTCTCAGTTACAGACAGCTGCAAAGGGAACCAATAAATTAGATCAACTTTACAAATGTATAGAAAATGACACCAGTCAAGCTGAAATGTATGAAAAAATGTACAAATGAATGAATATGGTTATGCCACAAGTTACAACAACCAGATGAAATCCTCGTAGTGGACTTGCCTTATGAGAGAAAAAGTATCACTTAACCAGAGCTTGCCCTGTTCAAATTCCTCCACACTCATCCGTTCAACATTTTCGCCATAACTATCATTAACAAGTCAATTCAGATAATCAAATGCATATAACAAAGATGACAATTATTTCAATTAAAGAACGTTATCCAATACTCCAATATAAGGATCTCCTTATAATGAAAGTAAAATTGCAATATTATAAATCAGAATACAGTTGATAAAGATGATTATAAATCCTTAATGAGGAAAAAAGTACTGATTCCATAAGTATAGAATGTCATAATACCAAAGTAATAACAGCATTATTTTACATGAAAACTGAAAAAGTCCCAAGATATTATTGAATGTTGCCATCATAATAAAACATAAACAGAGTATGATATCATCCATAGTCCTAATAACTATGGTACTATACATAGTAGTCAATCGCGGTTGGAGCGGCCGCTATCGCGGCGCTCTGGAGCGGAGCGGCCCGACGCTGCAACCGTGATGTTGTCGCGTCTCGGTTTCATGTCACGGTTGGAGCGGCCGCTATCGCGGCGCTCTGGAGCGGAGCGGCCCGACGCTGCAACCGTGATGTTGTCGCGTCTCGGTTTCATGTCACGGTTGGAGCGGCCGCACCGGTCGTGGAGCGGAGTGCAAACCACTCTTCTTCTTTTCTCAACTACTCGCACTCCCTCTCCTTTCTCTCGGACACGATTCTCTCTTGGGAACGACCGACGACGCACTCTGGTTGTCTTCTTCAGGCGTCTCTCTCGACGTCTCCTCTGGCCTGTCAGTTCCGATTGTCTTCTTTAGGCATCTCTCCCAACGTCTCCTCCGGTCTGTTAGTTCCGACGTCTCCTCCGATCTGTCTCGTCTGTCTTCTTCTGTCTTCTCTATTTCTAATTCAGCAGCTTTTTTTTTTTAATTTCTAACTAATTTAGTTGCTTCTCTATTTCTAATTTAGCAACTTTTTTTTTATTATTTCTAATTAATTCACTGCTTCTCTATTTTTAATTCAGCAACCTTTTTTTTAAATTTCTGATTAATTCAGCTGCTTCTCTATTTCTATTTCAGCAGCTTATTTTTTTTAATTTCTGATTCTGTTGTCTTTTTATTAGGTTGTTTTTGTCTTTGATAATCAGTGTAATCATGAGCCAACCAACCGCTGTGGAACTGAAACTAATCCCAATTCTAGTCCCACTCCCACAACAGAAATGTTTAAGCCCATTGGTGACAATATTGATGTCTTTTGGAAGTGGATCAGCTTAAAAGACAAAAATAATAAGAAGAGTGTCACGTGTGATTTTTGTCTAAAAACATCTACTGAAGAAATTACTAGAGCAAAAAAACATCAACTTGGAATAAAAGGCGAGGTGATGTAGGTGCTTGTAGAAAAATTCCTGATGATCTAAAATTGGAAATGAAGGCTGCCTATGAGAGTAAAAAAATTGCCTCAAAAGTATATATGGAGTGTGTGGATGAAAATGAAGAGGAGGATGACATCCAAGCCATTGCTAGAATTAAGAGACCTTCATCCACATCAAGTGAAGCCACTTCTGTTACCAAGAGGAGGGGTATAAATGTCAAAGGTCCCCTTGATTTGCACTTTACTAGAAAGGCAGAAGAAAGTATCAAATTGAATAAGGGGTTGTGGCAAACAAGTTTAAATGATGC